TAAAATATTTATTAGCTATCAACAGCAGAAAGAATACAGATTAAGAAAACAACAGTGAGCCTGGCTGGTGTGGCTTAGTTGTTGACCATCAACCTATGAACCAGGAGGTCACGGTTCAATTCCCAGTCAGGGCATGTGTTCCAGTTGCGCTTGATCCCCACTAGGGGTTGTGCAGGAGGCAACCAATAGATGATTATCTCTCATCATTGATGTTTCTATCTCTCTCCCTCTCCCTTCCTCTATCTAAAATCAATAAAAACATTTTTTTAAAAAAGGAAAACAACAGTGAATTAAAAAACATATGAATTAAAATTATATGAAAGTGAACTTATTAAATGGCCTTTCCTTAATTTTCTTTTTTTTTAATATTTGGAAACAGATTAGGCTTCTTTGTTTGAAATAAAATCTTTTTTTTTTTTTGAAGGGGTAAATTTTTTTTCTTCCTCATGGAATATTGGCTATAAAATTTAATGACAAACTAATTTTTCCTCCAGAAAATATCTATTTTCTGTGCTCCCAGTCCCAGACCAACCTGTACATATCTCTCTTCATATCGTTATATTCATACTGAAATGTTCTTAGCACCTGCCTCCTTCCTCTCAATTAAGTGCCTTTTCAAGACAAGAATAGGTTTTATGTTTATTATGTGTGTGTGTGTTCATCCACAGATTTCTGACCAGGCACATACTCAGCATTTAATATTTGTTTAACAAACTGAAATAGCCATTAATATAAATGTTTTATTAATATACAAAATTTAAAAGTTGCAATAAAAAATTAAGTCAAATGCCACTGTACTAATATTTATGAATAGAATCTAAAATAAAAGAGTTTACTGTAAGAGGTTTTTAAGTACAAATATAAAAACATCTACTATTCATAAGGTATATAAATGACTAATCACTATGTTGTACACCTGAAATTAATATACTTTATGCTAACTATAATTTAAAAATAAATTTAAAAGTTTTAGAAAAAATTGTTTTTAAGTCTCCTGTTTTTTTGGTTTAATTCATTGGTTCATCTTTAACAACTGTAGTAAAAGAAAAATGCCTAGGAAAAATAACATTCTTTTTTAAGTAAGGTTTAAAAACATATTAATGAAAGTTTATACAAACTGAACACTGCTGTGTCAGTCATTATCCCAATGCAGGCTAAAGGTAGAATAAAATAAAATATAATGCTGAAGTTAAGATATAAAAATGATTGCTTTAAGAGATAATATAACAAATAAAACTCTTTACATGTCAAAGTTATTATTTATGTACATGAGCATATAACCTCATAAAACTATCTTAAATCTTTTCATTTTAAAGGTGAACAACGCATTCTAGAAAAGGCAGTATAAAAAGCTATTTAATATATACCTAAGATTATAAAAAAGGATGCTTGTCTCTATCTTTAAGAAGCTTAAACAGATGCTAATATAAACGCTGATGGAACATAAAGAGAACATTACACAATTACATAAATGACATTAAAAATAAACTAGAATTCACAAGATAAAACATGTTAGTTCCAAATTGTATAACCTTAGCCATTTGCTTTTGAAAACCTATAAACTTTCCATTAAAATAATGGACTTTATTGTTTATTTACTGTAAGGTTAGACAGGCTGATATGACAAAAGTCAGTTGCTAACTAAGCCTTCATACATCACCATAAAAGCAAAGGTGAAACTGTCAATAATATAATATAATATAATATAGTAGCAAATGCTCAGAAATTACTATGCATGTGTTACTAATATTCATTGGAAGATTAGCCTTTAATCATTATAGACAACCAAACTCAAGACATGTACATATAAATATCACATGTTAACATAAAGTTTGTTAACGTACAGCATTAAATTAAGAATGCTATCAAATTTCTTCTTTGGTGGGTGTATGTGTGTGTGTTTCTGTGTCTGTGTTGGGGAAGGACATCATTAAAGATTCTAATAAGCTTAAGAAAGTTGCCTAAAAACACTATCAGTCTATAGCACACATGCTATTGAAATTAAATGCAACGGGGGTGTTCTTAGCATCTTGTTAATTTGAAAAATCCAATTTTCTCTAATATTTTAATTAAGCCACAAATTTAGAATCCCATTAAGAAATAAATGGTTATGTATATACTTAAAATGGCCTTAGCAACTCTAAGATTTTGTCCTTCTTATTTTTAAGCTATGCATTCAAGTTTCAAGCACAAGAAAAAAACTTTTCATATATCTGAAGGTTTGTACTTAGCAATATAAAACTGGATACTTCTTTCTTCAGTTCATCTAAAAAAACCACACCTCTTCCTCCCCAAAGTAACTTCCTCCAACTTTTACCAGGCATTGTTTTTATTTTCACTAATTCTTCTAACAACTATGAGAAAGTTCCAATTAGGCACTCATCCTTTTTAATACCTTTGTTATGAATTATTCCCAAGTAACCGGGAAATAATCTATCATTCAAAAGTAGGCTTAGAGATTAGGTTTGCATAATAATTAGCTGCAGACAGTCATAGAGAAGAGTGTAAGGAGTTGGCACCAAAAATAGCTGGAGTGGATATGGGTGGATAGTTGGGACTCACAAATAATGAAAATGTACTAAAAGCATTAGGCAACAAACTCTTATTCATGTCAGGCTCACATTAGAGTAAGTATGCTGGGAAGGAAAGGAAATTTCTAAAAAAATGTATATGCTTAACCAAATAACTACAAGCTTACTCTGAAAGTGTAAAGAAAAAAAATTCAAGGTCTACTTTTCTCTGCTACAAAGAGGGTATGTGACTTATTTTATCATATAAATCTGTCAGTCCTATCGCTGAGGAGGAACAAACACATTTTGATCATACACATTCCCGTCCCCTTTCCCTTCCAACAACTGATAGACTATTGGCCAACAGTAAAATTTTTCAAGTCTGTTTTAAATGTAACTTCCAACCTCATTTTTTCCACACCTAGAAAATCTCATTCATAACATTTCTTTATGCTCCTTTAAAAGTTTGTACATTCCACTAAGAAGGGTGTTTTTTTTGGTCAGAAAAGAGTAAGGATATTTCACAAGTAAAACTTTACAGTGATTTTTTCTTCACCCATAAAATGGGGAGTAATATTAGTACCCACTTCAAATGGTTATTATGAGGACTAAATGAAATAATGCTTTTAAAGTGATTAGCACATTGCCTGATATGCAAGCGTCAAATGACTCTGAGATATTATCACCATGGGAAAACAATTTATATTGACTAATTATTTCACAGAATAATCTCAGAAGAGTTAACACTGACTGTTAATTACTAAAATTTACATCACCAGTGCCTGGCATGCATCCAATAAATATGGTTTGAAACTATACATTCCTCTCAATGTGAATTACTCAGCAGTAATCAGACATATACAAATCTACTCCCACTTCCTGCTACCTCCTCCCAAACTCTAGGCCTGATTCATTTCCAGAGTTTTATACTAAAACCATTCAGGCATGTTAGAAATAAAAATCTGTAATTAAAGCATAATATGCTAATTAGACCGGATGTTCTTCCTTCCAGACAAAGTCGCAGTGGGCAGGGGCCGCGGCAGAGGCCCCAGCAGCAGAGACCCCCAGCTGCAGAGGTGGCGGGCAGAGGCCGGGGTCAAGGCCCTTGCACAAATTTCGTGCATCAAACCTCTAGTGTAAATATAAAAGGTTCTTTACACCTACAAGATAACTTTGTTTCTGATTCTTTTTCTTATGGAACTCTGATTGTATAGGGACAAATGCAGCAAGTACCTATTTGATACGTTATTCTTCAGTATAAAATATTTTATGATCTTTGGATTAAACACACTTCATTTTTTTGTTTTGTTTCTTTCTATTTTACTCTTTCAGAATAAAACTAAGATCATCGAAAGATAAATGCAATTTTTTAACATAAAGCTTCTTGTACTCTATCTATAACACAACACTATTATAGCTAAAACTACTTTCCAAGACATATTGATAGCCAGGGAACAACACAACCTAGGTTCAACCAAGCAGATGTGCTAAATGAAGATGTGTGTAAGGAGGAACTAGACAGCCTGAGTTGGTAGGAGAAGAACAGGTAGTAGAGTTTTATTCATCTGGGGTTGTCAGTGGTGGCTGCCACTTACTGAGTGGGTCAGGAGCATTAGAGTTGGTAGCTTGGTAGCAGGCCAGTGCTATGGTGTAGTTCTAGTTGTTTCTAGAAATTTAAAATATAATCTTTTCCTTTAGCTCTCCCAATATGTCTGGAAATTATCTCATTCTTTTTAGTAAATAAATCCCTTTCTGCTTAAATAAGCTGATTTGGACTCTGTTGTTTGAAACTAAGAACCCTGACCAATATCCAGAAAATAAAGAACATACCAATGAAACTCAATAAACTCATCTGTCTATATAAATTTCAAAAACATGCATAACTAAAAAAAAAACACAGTGCTTAAAAGTCTTCATTACAGTTTTACATTTGTGAAGGTAACTGAAAGTAGATTTGAAACAATATTATTTAATAATATTGGTGATATGACAACTAATTTCTATGTAAGAATCCCTTGCAGGATTGGTCAGTTGTTATTAATCAAGCAGTGGCAGCAGTGGGGGCGGGGCCAGCTGCCGGCAGCCATGGGAAGAAAAGCCCCAATAGGCCCGGATTGCCAGCCAGGCCTAGGGATCCTACCCGAGGGGTCCCGCCCGGATTGCAAGAAGGCGCAGGCCAGGCTGAAGGACACCCCCTCCCATGCATGAATTTCGTGCACCAGGCCTCTAGTAGGTAATAATGAATAATCTATTAAGAAAAATCATTATGTAAACGTCATTTCCTAATACTTTCTCTTCTGAACTAAACTAACTTTTTAAAAGTCTACTGGCCTATTAAAACAGATCTGTTCAATAGCTTAACCAAGGCAAAGATAGACTGTCAAAGGCAATAATCTTTTTCATTTATCACAAGAGTGGCAATTAATTTATTAGCTTGACAATCAACTGCACTGCTAGTTATATTTGAAAAAGTCAAATGACATAACTTACCGTGCACAAGGATGTCTTTGTGATTTTCAGGGTAAAATCTGAAGAAAACTCCAAATCTGAGACAGACGTTTTATGGCAATCTATATGCTACCCATTAAAAGAGTGAAGAGAATAATTTAGTAAAAATAATAAAAACAAAACAAAAATACAGATAAATACTTCCTTTTGTGCAAAAAGGATTACAGTAAACTAATGTTTTGAAAACTTTAATCATTTACACCCCACTTTTGGGATTGTTTCCAAATTTAAGGGTTACTAGGACTATCACTTAGTTCATTTTTTTAAAAAAATCAAATTAGTATTATTTACTTGGACTTCTTGTAAGAATAGTGTAGTGGCTCAAATCATGGCTCTGATGTGGTAAAGTTTTTTCTAAAACATAATAAAGTACTTTCAAATAAAAAATGTTTTCCAATTAAAATTGTGTATACCACTAGTGGAATACATTTGCTAGAAATTGTGTGATAACAGTCATTTCTTATAGGAAATGCCAACTTAAAAACATATCCTCTCTATATATAAAAAGCAAACAACGAGAACACCATAACGACCAGAATGACTGGTTACTATGACGCCCACTGCAGCCAGTGAACCGGCTGATCTGGGGGTGGGGCCAACCAGCCAACCTCCTGCAGCCCCTCTCCCCAGCCTGCCCCACCCCAATGGGCCCCCACCACCCTGATTGGCCCACAGCCCCTCCCTGAGGCCGGCCCCACCAATGATCAGCCCCCCTCACTCCAATCAGGGGCAGGACTGGCCCCAGCCGGCCCCGCCCCTGATTGCCCCCCCCCCACTCCGATCAGGGGCAGGACCAGCCAGCCAATCACCCATGGCCCCTCCCCCAGGCCGCTGGCCCCTGATCGACCCCCCCACCCCATTCAGGGGTGGGTTGGTCGGCCCATCGCCCACAGCTCCTCCCCCAGCCAGCTCCGCCCCCGATCGCCCCCCCACACCAATTGGGGTGGGGCTGGCCAGCCAACCTCCCACAGCCCCTCCCCTGGCTGCTGACCCCTGATCGGCCCCCCCTACCCCAATCTGGGGCAGGGCCCACCAGCCAATCACCCACGGCTCTTCCCCCCCAGCCAACCTGGCCCTGATCAGGCCAATTGGGGTGGGCTGGCCGGCCAACCTCTTGCCGTCTCCTCCTCCCAAAAGGCCCGGCCCCAATTGGGGCAGATCGGGTCTGGGCCAGCTAGACCCCACCCACGCACGAATTCATGCACTGGGTCTCTAGTATATAATAAAAACCTAATATGCTAAGTGTCCGGTTGTCCAGTCAAAGAATCAAAGCGTAATATGCTAATGATATGCTAAGGTCACTCAACCGCTCGCTATGATGTGCACTGACCACCAGGGGGGCAGATGCTCCGACCCGTAGGTTAGCATGCTGCTGGGGTCTGGCCAATTAGGACTATGCGAGATGGGCCGGACACGCCCTGGAGCCCTCCCATGGTCCCTTCCCGGCTGCCCAACCTCCCGCATAACCTCCCTGGCCCTGATCATGTACCAGTGGGGTCTCTCGGCCTGGCCTGCACGTAACCTCCCTGGCCCTGATCATGTACCGGTGGGGTCTCTCGGCCTGGCCTGCGCCCTCTCACAATTCAGGACCCCTCAGGGGATGTCAGCCGGTTTTGGACCGATCCTGCAGGCCAGGCCAAAGGACCCCACTGGTGCACGAATTCGTGCACCGGGCCTCTAGTACTAATGAAAAGAACAGAGTGATTTAGAATTCATTTTGTAATGGCAGCTGAAGATAAGTTTGTTAGATATTAACAAACTAACTATGAAGATTCAACTAAAAAAAAGTCAAATATTCTTATTTTCCCAATCTGCCCTGGTTCAAGTCCTTTTCCATTTTATTATGGAGAGTAGATGGAATCAGTTATAGTAGTGTGACCAGAGTATGTTGTAAGATTAACAATTGACTTTAGATGAGTAGATTATAACACAGTAGACACAATTCATATGATTATATACCTGAACCATTACTCTATTTTAGATAGTTTTAGAAAATTTGAAAGTTACAAAGTGTGCCTTTTATTTGTAGGGGGATTGGGAGCACAGAATGAACTGTATTTACTTAAACAAATAACTGATTAATGTTTAAAAAAAGAGAAAGGGTATACTTTTAAACACCTTCATCTTTCAGTCCTAAATTCTGTATTTCCACTATTTATTCATAGCATTTTCTGGCACTAAGCGAAGAGATCACTAGGGTGAGAAATTAGCCCTTCCCTCCCCCCACATAATCCTCTTCCTTCTGCTCAGCCTTAGGGCTGAGTTGGCTATAACTGTACACTCCTACCCTGAGCCAAAGTATCCAAATAAATCCCTTACTATCAGTACTAGAGCACTAAACAGTCCTATAATCATGAAGCAGACTGTATTTTTTTCTTAAAAGCTGAATGCAATTTTAATAAGCTTGCTCTTACTGAAAAATTTTACATGTTTATTATTCTATGCTAATTTTAAATACTTTATCCATCTAAGAGAATTGATAAACATTTACTGAATATCTTCTTTGTGTAGAAAACAATTTTTGATGTTATGAAAATAATAGTGTGAGTAAAAAGAGGAAACAATGTTTGAACCAAACACTAAACAATCTATATTTATCTAATTGAAACAAACAAATTAAGGAGTTATAAGAAAGGCAATATGTTATTATTTAACCCATGTAAGTTTGACATAGCAAAATTCATAAAACTGGATATTTACAAGGTGAAAAATAAGATATTAAAACACTAAAGAAATTAACTGAACATTCTGAACATAGTTTAGTTCAGTGGACAAATTCACTGTACTTACTCTGCAAGGGATAGAAGAAGTCTGAGTAGGACAAGCTAAATTGTGTGGAATATATAATATGAATGAATTATCTGGCTATTAAAGGGAAGCTAGAATAAAGCCAGGAGGTGGTGATGAAGCAGAAATGACTATATAGCAGGACAGGACTTTTTACCTTCACTAAGTCAAAAGTAAATCACTCAACCCCTGGAGTATAAGAAACTTCAATATATCAAGAGAAGTGATTTCAAAGAAATGATATAGTCAACTGGTACATATTATGACTTTAAGTTGTTTTACACTGATTAAAATAGGAAGAATAATTACTGTTTGAAATCTTACATATAAAATCAACATTAATTTCTTTTTTTTAAAATATATTTTATTGATTTTTTACAGTGAGGAAGGGAGAGAGATAGAGAGTTAGAAACATCGATGAGAGAGAAACATTGATCAGCTGCCTCCTGCACATCTCCCACTGGGGATGTGCCCGCAACCCAGGTACATGTCCTTGACCGGAATCGAACCTGGGACCTTTCAGTCCGCAAGCCGACGCTCTATCCACTGAGCCAAACCGGTTTAGGCAATCAACATTAATTTCAAATACTAATCTCAGAAGTGAAAACTAAGAAATGTGGCAATACTATTAGAGAAAATAAAATTGGTAAAACACCTACCTTAATACTATAAGCGTCTGAAATAAGAGTCTTTGGATCTAAAATTTCCACAACAGCTTCTGGAATAACTGCTTTCTTCATGCAGGACATGTTGAAGCCATAGACATCATCCCAAAAAGCAATCCTATCAGCATGTTTATTCACATCACTTACTGCCACAAGGCTGATAGTGCAAATATCAGGGTAGACTGCAAGAAATAAAATATCCAACAATTTAGCATTATCTCCCTTTATTACAAAACAGAATTTTAAAAGGCTAAATATAAGTATCAAATCCATCAGTATGGCTCACTAGCAATTGATTACTAACAGTGGGGGATTATGAAGGTATAGCTCATGGAAAATAACCAAGTCCCATCGTGTAGCTCCCTTAAAAAAAAAAAGATTTCCATTATTGTGATGGTAAGATTAAAATAAGGATTTCACCAATGGGTTGCTATTAAAATAATTAAAAGAGGATGGCATAATTAGGTAATCCTGAAATGAACATATTTATTAAACTTACAGTATGATGACTTTTAAAAGGTACTAGATCTTTATATATAGCTTTGAAACATGCAGAGAGGGACAAATCATTTAAAAAGATAATATCTTAAAAATTCATGTGATGGAATATTATAGTTGTGTAGAAGACCACTTCATATCACTGAGGGGATATATTCAAGGAATATTTAGGAGGTCGAATTCATAGTACTTTAAGACTGGCTGGCTATGGAGGTGAGGAAGAGGAAAGAGTCAAGGATGACAGTTTTTAGCTTTATAACTGGGCAGAATGTGGTACTAACCATTATAATATGGAATAAATAAGGGCAGATTCAAGAGAAATATGAGAGTTTAATGCTTATGAGACAAACAGGTAAAAATATCCACTAAGCAGCTGAATATAGGTCTGAAATTCAAAAGAGAATCTGGGCTCAAGATATAAATTTGGGACCATGAGCATATAAATGAAAACTAAGTTATGGGAGCTCATGAGGTTCCTAAGAAGAATACATGATGAGTAACAATTTAAGAGATGTGTAGAAGAAAAGGATATTGAAAAAAAAATGGCTGAGAACCTGGGGTCACAGGAGTAAGAGGAAAACCAAGTGTTAAGAGCATTAAGGGAAGAGAATGATTCAGGAAGAAACTCTCCTCTGATAACAAGCATAGATCTTTATAACAAAAATTTTTAAATAATACTGATTTCTTTTTATTAATAAATAAAAAATGAACTTTGTCCTTCAAATGAATCAACATGAAATATCACCACATTATCATAAATTAAAATATAAATCACATTTTCCTATAACAACAAATTGAAAGCAAGTACATATGTACCAAAGAAATGCACAAAAGAAGTAATTTTATGACTATCACTTAGCCTTCAGACTTAAGCAGTACAGAAATAACTTTTTCTTTCCCCCAAACTTTGTTTCTATCCACAGCCTTAGGAATTTTATTATTCAATGAGAACAGCACTAAATTATCTTCCAAATAAAGCCTGTGATAAGATCTGCTGGCATTAAAGCAATTGCTTCTTCCACACCTGACATGTGAGACTCCAAGAATAAATACTTGGTGCTATGCCACTGATAAGAAGTTTCTCCAGTCCTCCTTACAGAGGCCTAGGCCTGTCAGGCAGATATGAGAGTTGGGCTAGTCTACTTCCATGTAAATTCAGATACTTCTACTCTCCTCCACAGACTTGGTAAGCCTCTTGCCTGTGCTTAAATTTTGGATTGATACAAATTCTTCCAAGTAACTGATTTGTTACTGAAAATGCTAACCGAGCAAGAATATCAGCTACATGAAAGTATGTTTAGTTTCTTACACCAGATCTTTAAGATAAGAAACACTGAAGAAACAGAATTCTGAAGCAACTTTAGATATTTGGAAACTTCTTTATGCATTCTTTCTGGGATTCAGTATGACAATAGTAGAAGCTTTCCCACATTATTCTGCCACAGACAATCCTATATAATGAAAGTGTAATATGCAAATCGACTGAACAGCAGAACGACCAGTTGGTGGGGGGTGGGGCCGGCAAGCAGGAGGCGCCAGGTCAGCCAAGGCACATGCCAGCAGGCAGAGGTAGGGAATGGCAATGTGGGGGGGTGGGGGGGGAGTGGCGGTGACCAGCGGTGGCAGAGAGGCGATCGGGGGCCCACCTAGCGGCCTCCTGCAGAGGGAAACATCCCCTGAGGATTCCTGGACTGTGAGAGGGTACAGGCCGGGCTGAGGGACACCTACCCCCAGTGCATGAATTTTTGTGCATTGGGCCTCTAGTACATAAATAAATGAGCATGGCTAATGTTCCAATAAAACATTATCTACAAAAACAGGCAGCAGGCCAGGTATAGATACCTCTGATATAGAGAAATGGATGAGGGAGATATCAGGGCCACCATACTGTACTACTTCAGAGAGTGCCACTCACACTGTAGTCTATGGGAATTGAATATCCTCTGGAGTGCACAAATATTCAATTCACTTAACATGGTTCATAGAGTCCTTCTATTTTAGAATATTATTTTAAATCTTAGTGAAATTTAAAAAATATCATCTCTTTATCAGGAGTTGGCAAATGACAGGCCATGGGTCAATTCAGCTCACTGCCTGTTTTTATAAATAAGTTTAATTGAAACACTGCCATGGTCTATGGCTGTTACTGTGGTAAAGCTGAGTAGTTGGGACAGAAACTGTGTGGCCTATAAAGCTGAAAATATTTACTATCTGCCCTTTGGTAGAAAAAGTATGCTAACTTCTTTTTTTGTATCTATTAAGCAATATGATCCTATACTGATATAATAAAAGCCTAACATGCATATCGACCGAATGGTGTAATGACAGGTGGAATGATTGGTTGCTATGACGCGCACTGACCACCAAGGGGCAGACACTCAATGCAGGAGCTGCCCCCAGCCTGCAGGCCCCAGGCCAGCCAAGATGGGTGCCAGCAGGGGACCCCCCGATCGCCCTGCCTGTCGCCCCGCAGAGGGAGGTGACTGGCAGTGGCGGTGGCGGGCAGGGCCAGCAAGTGGGTGGTGCCAGGCCGGCCAAGGTGGGTGCCAGAAGGGGCCCCCCAATCATCCTGCCAGTTGCCCCACAGATCAGTCCCGATCGCCAGTCAGGCCTAGGGACCCTGCCTGTGCACGAATTTTGTGCACCGGGTCTCTAGTTTACTAATAATTAATTCTATTAAGAATTTTTTTTTAAAAATATATTTTATTGATTTTCTACAGAGAGGAAGTGAGAGGGATAGAGAGCCAGAAACATCGATGAGAGAGAAACATCGATCAGCTGCCTCCTGCACACCCCCCACTGGGGATATGCCTGCAACCAAGGTACATGCCCTTGATCGGAATCGAACCCGGGACCTTCAGTCCCCAGGCCGATGCTCTATCCACTGAGCCAAACCGGTCAGGGCAATTCTACTAAGAATTAAGGATAAGTTTTTCATAAGGAAAAAATGGTATCTCACTAAAAGTAATTTTAAAAGTTTTGAAAATATGTTGATAATAAAGAAATAAACTAAAGAGGAATATGATTTCACTTTTTCTAGTGTTGAGCTAATCATATTTCAAGCTAATCACATTTCACAAAAGTACAGAAATATAGTTTTTATATCTGTTAGAATTTAGAAATGAAATTATCTTTTAGTTATTAAGTTCTATGAGTATTCATAAAGGACTTGTAATCAGTGTTATAGGTGTGTTTGGTTCTATATCTACCTCCTCACAGCTGGCTAAAATGTTGGGCCACCTGCCCGAATCCTGACTAACCCTTTACCTTCACATTCTGACACATCTGTCATTTGATTTTTGTCAGATAGAAGCATAATTGAATAATTATTCCTCCTTGTAGGTGAAATTAACAAAGCGCTGATTGGACAAAAGCACCCTCTTAACAGACCATTTATAAATTCACAGCTTTGACATCTGTGTCCTTCTCGATTCATTGCCCAGAATTCATTTGTCACTAGAACAGCTCACATTGTGAATAGATAAAGGTGGGAAAGCCTTTATCCCTTAGAAATGCCTCACAAACTTTTGGACACTAAAGGATAAGACTGAGCTGCATAAAGAAACAATTCCAGTAAATACTAGCATCATTACTTGTTTAGAACAAGAGAGTAAAAAGTTTAGAACTAAAGGAGATAAAAATAAAAATAAACTGTCCTTTTTACAATACCTATACATAAAAGCCTAAGTGATCATCCGACCAGCCAACCATCTGACCAGCCGAACATCTGGTAGCTCTGATGTGCACTGACCACGAAGGGGCAGACGCTCAATGCACAGGCATGGAAACATGAAACAGACTGATGAATCTCAAAGGGAAAGCGGGAGGGGAGATGGCGGGAAGAGATTAACCAAAGACCTTATATGCATACTAGAGGCCCGGTGCATGGATTTGTGCACTGGTGGGGTCCCTCGGCCTGGCCTGCAAAGATCGGCCTGAAACCGGCCCAGTGTATGAATTTGTGCACCAGTGGGGGTTCCTCAGCCTGGCCTGTGGGGATTGGGCCAAAACCAGCTCTCCAACATCCCCCGAGGGGTCCCAGATTGTGAGAGGTCACAGGCCAGGCTGAGGGACCCCACCGGTACACGAATCCAGGCACCGGGCCTCTAGTAGAGAAATATTCGATTGAAATAATAGTCAATTATAAAATTATTGATAGGCAGAAGAAAAAATGTAGTTCTAAGTCACTAAATCAGTAAATATTTTGGGAGTTGAACAAGCCTAAAAATTGATTTCCAATTTACATAATAAGGGTATCTTAAAAAACTTAAGACTTATTTGGAAATTGGAAACATCCCCACCATTAATTTATAATAGTGACTAAGCCACTAAAACTTAGCTAGGCTAAAATGTAGAGTTGCAATATGTACTGAAAAGTTATGTACTAAAAACACGTAGAAGTTAATATTACTGCAATATCATTGGAAGAAAACAAAATAATAAATCTGAGCAAAGCAGATCTGATGATGAGGAAGCAGACAGCAAGTTCTGGAAACACTAAAGGAAACCTCAAAGCACTATGAACCACTGCCCCTAGCTGATGGCACACTGACATAAGTTATGCAAAAGTCAAGTGCTATGTAAAAGGCAGGTGTTAATACCATGATTGCTTAAATTCATTTCCCACTCTTATAAGGTAAAAACCTAACACTAATCTCTTGTTTACCAGCTGTAACTCAGGAGGGAAATTAACATTTATTGAGTAACTATGTTATATCAAGCCATTTAGACTTTTGACTGATTCTATAAAGGTGGATTACAGATTTTTTTACAGATAAGGAAACCGAAGTTCACAAAAATAAACTAACCTGCTCAAATTACTGGTGTTAATCAGCTAACTAGATAACTAGTTAATTGACAAAACAGGGATTCAATCTATCTGCAAAATCTATGTGCTTTCCATTATGCCACATTTATGTTTTTCAAAAGGAAAACAGAGAAAGAGGAACCCCATTTTCCTAAGGACACTTATTGGAAGAGGAAGAGGAGAAAACGGTTGAGAAGAATTGGAGATTAATAAAATTTCAGGGCAAAATGAAGAAAATGGAAATGTTCAGCTTTACTTGGTCTGAGTTTTAAAAAAAATGAGATGGACAGAAAGAAATACTAAAAGGAAAGCAATTAAGCAGCAATTAGAGAGGAGTACATAAACTGTACTGCTCAGTTTTCCAGCAGCAAGGACAGCATTTGCAAATCTGGAATTTATAAGAGGCCATTTTTTATTAGTGTAGATCAGGCTTCCAATCAAATTATTAGTACAATGTAAAACCTTTGTGTAAAACCTTTGAGAGGCACAGATCTATCAGAGAATGGTATATATCTTCACTCTATTTTGCTGCCCCCTTCTGAATTACTTGTGAAATTCCCTGTTGTGAGATAGGGCCTGCTTCCCTCTACAGAAGCTAAAAAATGACAGAAACTTGCTTTCCCTCGCTCCCTTGAAGGTGAGGCATGTACACAGAAGCTAGGCCCCACTAATGACATGCACCTAAAGCTCTGTCTACCTTTCAGAGGCCGCAAGGCCTACTGTTAGCGAGATCAGCATTGCAATGTGTCAGCTAGTCCTCAGCATCAGAAGTGGTATCACTTCTAAATCAGTCGTATGAGATAATTTTAAGCATCGTTCCTAACTGTATAAACTTACAGCCTGGTTTTCTCGTTCTCACGCAAACTTTTAATCTACCCTATTGTCTTAATAAATTCCTTTTCTGTTGAATAGCCAGGGTAGAGTTCGATTTCTTCCAACAAGAACCCTATTAATGCAGAGGGAAACATACATTGTAAATAAATTCCTCAAACAGGGCTGTTCCACTAGTTTTGGGTTCAAAAGGCTCTGATGTGGGGCTTGAACATACATTTTTAACAAAAGGTCCATAGAGATTGTGTTGGTCTGTCAATTAACAGTGAGTTAGCAAATGGCTATTTTAGTAATTTTATGTTGTATTGGACACTGTCCTCAACTTTATAATCTCAATGGTTATAACTCAAAGAAGGTATATATTCTAAAGGACTCCATTAAAACTTTGAGCTTAGTTCTGACTATGTGTGTGTGTATGGAGGAACCTTTCATTTTGCTTGTAATGAAAGGCAGTGAAAATGACTTTCTTTCCTAGTAATGTGGAAGATGTCTCCTTTAATGGGCCCCTAAATTTTCTATGAAGCAATTGTGAACTCAAAAAACTACTACCAGCTTTATGAATTAAAAGAATGAATTATTTCTATGTGCTCCTATCTGCTCACAATTTCAATATGTCCCATTCCTGAGGATGTCAACCCTGACTATATGATCAAAGTGGAGTCTGCTAGGCTTCTACACTGATTACTCTTTTCCCTTTTGTAATTAAGATAGTTTGTGGGGAAGTTTTTTGAAACTAGGTAAATGTCCCATTCTTAATCTAACTTTCAGATTATTCATTTATTTATTTCTCAACAGAATTACTATTTTTCAGCTTTAAGTGATACTCCATAAATTCTTGCTGCTAAAGATAAAGCTACTGAAGTATATGCACTTCCTTCTACTTGCCCTCAGCATTCCCTTTCCAATTTTTCTGAGATGTAGTATGTGATATTGTTAGGATATAAAACATTTGAATTCTATTTTGTCCTCCTATGCTTTTGTCTTAATTCTACCTATAAAACTATGCACTGATTACAATCAAACATTTTCATAGTTTTCTTCTTCATCACGTTGTTGTTTGAATGTAAAACACTACAATTCCTAACACATAATTAATATTACTAAATCTTAGCTAAAATTAGTATAAGCAGTCTTTAGTAAGCCCAATTTCATTAACTATACACAATTATTTCTATTAGTAGTAATAGTAATAAATGAGTACCTCTAAAGTACTGTGGAATTTCTTGGTGATAACAAAGAGAATGAATACTCAAGTTATTGGCTGACTATGTTTTTATAAAGGTTTTATTTACTCTATGCCATTATATATATGAGAATAAAGTGAACCCTAATATAAAAGTAAGCCGTGGTCCCTTCATGCATACATGGGTCTTCAATATTCTCCCTCTCTCATAACTCAATCATCTTTCTAAATTCTTTGCACTGCTAATTGCTTAGTAAATATTTCTGTTAGGAAAACGTAACAGAAAACTCTATTTTGCAATAGCAGAATGTGCGTCTAGTTGATTTGGTGATATTCATCATCAAGGCATATTCAAATGCACAAAATAGGCAAAACCACTTCATGTTACTCACTTCTGACTTCTTTTCTCTTGATTGTGTCAACAAATAACATTCAACAGCACTGCTTAGGCAGGTAATGCTGACCTCTTTTCAATATACCTCCAGATTATCTTAGTGCTAATATTAGTCATAAAAAATATAGAAAGAGCTAGACTTATGAGCCTCCATTTTACTAGTAACCCTCTGACACTGGGAAAAAGCTCTGCCACTACTTCAACTACAACCCCATTATTCACATGCTCTAAGTTCTTAATGAATTTCATCAACAATTCAATTTAAGTGCATTAAGTTGCTGTCACTCCTTCAGTAAGATCAATGAGTATCACCGAGGGAGGTATGGAAACAGTTTTCTGAATCTTCCCTAGAACAACTCAAGGCAAAAATCAGATTCAATAAAATACACTTTTAGTAGGGAAATAATGAATAGTGAAAAGAAAGATCCAGCAAATCTGAGATTAAAAAAAAAAAATCAAGGCCTGACCACTTAATATGTGTCATCCAGGTCACATTTGTTTCTAAAACCTCAAAGAGCTATTGTGAGGTTTACATGTAATAACATAAGTAAAGGTAGAGTATATTATTTGGTAGCTTGTATAGACAATCAACAAATGGTAGATAATATTAATTTTTAGTCATTAAGTGTGGTTCTCATTTTTTTTAAAAAAGTCACTGCATTTATAGAATGATATAGCTAATAAGTTGCAGAGAAAAATATATCTAAAAATTCTAGCCAGGTTCATGTCAGAGACCAGGGACATATCTTAAAATGGTTGCAGAAAATATAGTGATGAGAGCATTTTGAAAAAAGAAAGGCAATCCATTTAAATGCTATTAAAAAAAAAAGGACTCTACTATACTAGAGAATTTTCTCTGTGTTTTATGTTTTGGCCTTATTGATTTCTATTATACCATTACTACCAAAGTAATTTCATAGACCACAGATCAGCAAGAGGCATAATATGGTCCAGTGCTTTATGTCACTACTTCCAAATATCTCCTTTTCATCTATTTGTATATATACTTTTAGCACTTGTACTCTGATCATGGATACCATTTGTTGATCCTGAAGCTTTGAGGAAGGGAAGGTGCAGGGAGAGGTGAATGAAGGGAGACCGATGCTATTCAATTCAGTTTTAATGATTCAATTCAGTAAACATGTATGATGTTCTACCTATGCTGCAGGAGCTATGGAGCTCACTGAAGAGTCAAAGATGAGCAAAACATAGTCTCTGCCCTGAAAGAGAACATTTTGTTTGTATACAACTCTACCCAGCAGAAGGCCTATAAAAACCTAATCTCACTCTGAGTAAGCAGAGTTAACATGATTAAAAGTTAATAAAAAGAAAGCCTTCCAAATTTATTGGGGTCCATTTAAAAATACTGATTGGGTATGTTATGTTTTAACAACTTAGTAGAAACCAGTCACTATTTAAATCTTCTCATTAAATCACACAGAAACCAGGTTTATATATTTAGTGAAGTCATGGAAAATTTGCCATTAAAGTGAACAATCTCCAATCTAGCATGCAATACTCTTTTGGAAAAAAGAAAACTAAATGTCATAAAGATTAAAAATAAAAAACTTTGTGACATTTTGACTTGAAAATCAAAGAACTTCAAAATCTAGTCCTTAATGTATTTACAAAAAAGTGTTCTTGAGAATATCATTAACTTTGAGTCCTGCATATCTATACTAATAAAAGGGTAATATGCTAATTAGGCGGACATCTTCTAGACGACCTTCTGGATGTCCTTCTGGACAAAGCCGCAGCAGCTGCAAGGGCCAAGGCTCAAGCAGCCATGGGAGGCTGCGAAGGGCAGAGGCATGGCTGCGAAGGGCCCAGGCTCAGGCAGGCAGTGGCAGCAGCAGTGGGGTCATGGGGGCAGCGCCTTCCCCTGATCCACCAGGTCACCTCCCGCAGAGGGAGGCCAGACTATGGCTTAGGCTGGGGGCCGAGGCAGAGGCAGTTAGGGGCGATCCGGCTGGTGGAGGAGCAAGTTAGGGGCGATCAGGCCAGCAGGCGGGCAAGGTAGGGGTGATCAGGCCGGCAGGCAGGTGAGCGGTTAGTAGCCAGAGGTTCCGGATTGCAAGAGGGATGTCTGACTGAGGATCGGGCCTAACCCAGCAGTCGGACATCCTCTGAAGGGTCTCAGATTGGAGAGGGTGCAGGCCGGGCTGAGAACACCCCACCCCCATGCACGAATTCCATGCACTGGGCCTCTAGTCTTATATAATATTCTACTATCAACAGTATTCTGAACGAATGTCTTATAGCTTCATCTAATGGAAACATCTTTCATCTCTATTGGGAACTTTCTCAGTCACGCATAGTTTATTTGAAATCTAAAGGTTCATTTGGTTCTGTCAGACTAAAATATGTTATTAAAACTAGAATTTTATACTTACCCGATCCTCCTTTTGTCAAGTATTTGTTCTTTGCATAAAGAACAGAATCTAACATAGATTCGAAAAGAAGAAAATAACCCTGCAGAAAACAGAAAAAAAATTGAGTTTGGAAATGTGTAATATTCTTACAGAAAGATCAGTTTAAATATCTGCCTACTCTTTTAATAAAAATATATATACTTTGTCTATGCCACAAAATATTCTGCAAATTTTGAAATTATTTTTTGTAGTAAGTTCTCTACATAATAATTGTTAGAAAACCAGGCCAGGGTATAAAGTGAATCCAGAAAATTTATTACGGTAGAATCTACTGAACCTTTTTTTTATCTGAGCTTCTACTTTCTAGACTATTGTTTCTTTCTCATTCAAAGAAATATTTGAAAAAATATTTGTCAAATTGTTGACAAAACCTGTAACTCTCCAGAATATTGCAAAATTAATCTAGAGTGGTTCTTAAGATTTTGCTCTCAGGGGACGTCTGGACACATTTTGATTGTCACAAATGGGGATGGGGTGGAGGGATGCTACTGGCATCTGGTAAAGAGAGCCAAGGATGCTGATGAGCATCCTGTAATGCACAGAAAAGCCCCCATAACAAAGAACTATTTGGCCCCAGATGATATATCCTGGTTGATCTATCCTGGTCTAGAACATCATTTTCCAAACAGTTTCCTGCCCCAGTGACTTTCTCTTTGGTTAAAAAAAAAAGGGGGGGGGGGGGAGTTGGCTTTAATACAAGAGATTTGAGAAAGACCAGATGCTAGAGATTCATAGTGCACATTGGCACAATAAGAGTTATAAGAAGTGTTAAGGTAAAGAGCACTGAGGAACATATTTTAACCACTCTTCGACTAGACACCTCTTTTTTTTCTATTTAACAACTATCAACACCTTGCACAGCTAGTGTTGTTTGAAACACAGCCCCAATACACTCCAGATTTTAGAGAGCAGTAATGAATCCTCTGCCAAGAAAGGAAAATCATAGGTCAAAAGAAAAGATAACTTGTCCCTACTGGTATCACAAGCACAGTGCATTCTAACAGTATGCTATGGTTTATTAAATAAATGATAAAGTAATCATAAGTGAGAGGTTAATGCCAGTTTCAGTTAGTCTTTCTCCTTCTAGGGGCCCATCCGCCAACAGCCCTGATAAGCAAGGAAAATTAAGTGCTCGGTGCAGAGCTTAGCACATACTATATCTATTGGTTAGGGTGAACCAATATGAATTTTACCCTGATGTTAGCATTCTAAATCAAAACTGTTCTCACTCATTTGCTTTGTGTACAAATAACCATTTGACAGGATAAATACAACTGCCTTTAACAACAATAAAGTTTTTTTAATGGTTTCTCTAGAACAAGAAAATGCAAATCCAAATGAATAATCTTCCCAAGAGATTAACAGCAAATTTAAATTACAGAAAACACAGCTCTCATGCTTGAATCACTTATGAAGGAAGCTAATTAAATTGCCCCTAGCAACTCTACTTTGGCATTTACCCCCAACACACTAATTCATTGATAAGAAAATAATTGCCTACAAAAGAAAGATTTTGCAACAAAGCTTTTACCAATCTATTTACATTAGGAAAATTAAGGATTTGGTGGAAAGTCTTTCTCTAGATAGATTTCTTCAGTAATATGTCTAACTCTTACAAGTTGGTTCCCCTTTAACATCATTTGTGTATTCAAAGCATAAGAGATTTTTGGAATTCAAATAAATCTTTATCAATCTGACATGACATGCAGATCTATGCACACAAATGCTAATAAATAAGCATTCATCAACTGACTAAGGTGAATAATAATTTATGCTAAGAAATTATTAAAAGAGGAGGCATCACCCTGGCGAGTTTTGCTCAGTGGTTAGTCAGCCTTCAGATCAAAGGGTTGTGGGTTCGATTCCAGTCAAGAACACATTACCTTAGTTGCAGGTTCCCCTACTGGGGTACCTGGGGAGGCAACCAATCCATATATCTCTCTCTTGTCAATGTTTCTCTCTCTCTTTCTCTCTCTCTCTCTCTCTCTCTCTCTCTCTCTCTCCATCCTCCCTCCCTTCCACTCTTTCTAGAAATCAATGGAAAAAAAAACACATCCTGAGGTAAGGATTTATAACAACAACAACAAAACAACAAAAGAACAGGCATCCATTTGCCCTATGAGGAAAAGATCAGCTGATAAAACATGTTAATAGGCTGGAAAAAAAAATGGTTCCTATTTGTAAGAGTGCTGAAGGTTTAAAGAAAAAAGAAAATAAATTCATATTTTGGTACAAATTAAGTACTCATTATATTCCAATCATTTTTGGAAGGGGGTATTAAAAACTGTTACTGATTTGGCACTGTGTCAAAACTGTTTCTAGTATTACTCTTTCAAAGCAGTTAGCTAAATCTAAGTATTTTGTTTCCATATGCTCAAATACCATCTTGCTTTCATGTACTACAAACCAAAAAAAAGTCTTTAATCAATAGGTGAAAGTACCTCCTTCTAGCAACACGTCCTTTATTGCATTGAAGATAAAGATATTATTAGCCATTCATCAGAGATTAAATTACACCTATTTTAAATTGATATTATGGTCAATACCAATGGTATAGTGGTTGAGAGGATGGATTCCTGAATTTAATCCCAGATGAGCCCCCTTTTCTATTGGCTAAGTTAACATCATTATGCCTCAATTTCTTCATCTGTAAAATGACAGTGACAATGACATTGTATTTCATACAGTTGTTGTGAGGATTAAAATGTTCATACATGTAAAAGGTTTAGAACAATAAATTTACTAGCCCAGATGAAAAAAATTAAGAGCTATGTAAAAAACATATTTGTAAAGGCTAATCAGAATTTTGAAATTATGTTTAATATTAGAGAATAAAGGTTTACCAGACTGTCCAGATTGATGTAATAACATTTATTTAGTGAAGAGTCTTATATTACAATCCAGAGTAAGAAGTAGAATTCCTTTTTCCCCAGGAGTTAATCAGAACACATTTTCTTGTGTCACTTCTTTTTTCACATCAGCCAAGACTATGTGTATGTATATACACACCAAAATATGTAGTAATATATATATCTATATATACATCTGCTAAAAAATTATTTAAAATTAATAAAATTTTTAAAACCCTATCAAAACAACTTGATAAAATTGGACACATTAGAGCCAATTCCAAGATTCTTCTTAAAAAGACAATCACAGGGATTTTTCCCCTCCCCTGGGCCAAAAAATCAATTTTACTTAATACTCTGAACTGGTATTTATAGCTTAAGACTTTCCCATCCATTTGCTTTCATTTAATATAATAAAAACCAATAGGCATTTTCCTACTTACCCCTTCATAATTACCTTAGCTAAGATTAGAATCCTGATAAGATAATATTAGAGACAGTTTCTAAAGTTTTAACTATTTAAAACAACCTAATTTTCAGATGAGAGAAATCAGTACTAGAGAGGTTAAGTAACTTATTTTAAATCATGTTGATGGAAAAATAACACTGGACAATTTTTAGCATCTCTTACAAAACAGTGGCCTTAAGATTCAATTCCCAATGCTGCTAAACTCAATAGTGAGATAGACTGCAAACAAACAAAAGAAAGGAATCATCATCCCTGGCACTAAAAATACCTTCTCATAAAATGCCATGTCTTTGCTTCTCATTTTTTAGAATCAGCCAACACAACAGGGTCAGAGAATTTATGAAAGTAAATGATCAAATGCTCTTCCTGATATATGTAAAGAAAGCATTCAGCACAGTGCCTGGCACAGAGTTAACACACAGACCATATCACAGAGCTCTTTAATTCGGTGGAAGTCACTATATGGGAGTCAGCTACTAGAAGGTAGAACTAGACTAAGCTATATAGAAGCAGAAGGACACAGCAAGTCTTTTCCCATTTTTTAATCATTTTTGCTCTTCACTGGTGTATAATTAAAAAATACTGCCTTGCCGGCGTGGCTCAGTGGTTGAACGTCGACCTATGAACCAGGAGGTCACTGTTCAATTACCGGTCAGGGCACATGCCCAGGTTGTGGACTCAACCCCCAGTGTTGGGCATACAGGAGGCAGCCGATCAATGATTCTCTCTCATCGTTGATGTCTCTCTCTCTGTCTCTCTCTCTTTCTCCCTTCCTCTCTGAAATCAATAGAAATCTTTAAAAAAAAAATACTTTCATCTGGTGGCTGTTGGTCAGTGGTTGAGCATTGACCTATGAACCAGGAGGTCACAATTCAATTCCTGGTCAGGGCACATGCCAGGTTGCGGGCTTGTTCCCCAGTAGGGGGCATGCAGGAGGCAGCTGATTAATGATTCTCTCTCATCATTGATGTTTCTATTTCTCTCTCCCTCTCCCTTCCTCTCTGAAATCAATAAAAATATATTTTAAAAACAAACAAAAAACACAATACTTTCCTCTAGAAAGTATGTGTTTTCCTTTCTAAAATTAAAAATTACAAATAATAGTGGTGATGACTGTTAAAGTTCATTGTGTTAAATGTCTTTATATGGATCATCTTATTTAATTCTTCCCTAAAGCACATTATTATTTCCATTTAACTGATAAGAAAACAAAGTTTAAAAATGTTAAATTACAACTTAAAATAAGAGGACTTAAAAAACAGCTCATAATCATGGAAACAGCTGAATGAGCCAGGATGTGAACCGTGGTGTAAAAACACAGGCCAAATTCTGAACCATTATTTTATGTTGCTTCTTAAATTGATTTGCTGGATTGAAAATGAGATTTAGTATGTGCATTATACTAGTTACAATTAAGTACTCAAATGTTCTGAAATAAAAAATTTCCCATAGAGCATATTAAACAAGAATTGAATTTACAGTAGATGTATGATTCATAGTATTTCAAATTGATAGTTTAGTTGGCAACTATTACCACCATTTTATTGTAAAAATTATCAGTTTAGAAAAATCAATTGAAGTACCAGAATATATGTAGAATCAATATATGACATTTGTGAGCTAAATTAATATGCCTAATTAAAAATATTAACAGATGAGAAGATTCATATAGTATTGCTAGTGGTTATTGTCCTTTCTCTCAACTTTCCACTTTGCTAAACT